CTCCTCCTCCTCCTCCTCCTCCTTCACCATTGCAAGCACCACGCGGGCATGTTTCGCGAATGCCCAACATTGCATTTGCACCTTAACTAATTCCAAGATGTTGCTCGGCTAGTGGCATTTGGCATGTAGGTTTGATTCACGTATGTCTCATGCCTTTTATCACAAGTACTCTCTACGCTCAAGTGCACAAAGAACACGAATCAAGATTTGAGACTGGGAAGACAGATATGGATGTAGGGCTATCTCATGATTCCAAGTCAAGGCACACCATCATGTTGCCAAACGACCCTACCCGACTGAGGGCCATGGCCCCGCTGAACAGTGCGCGAGGCTTCCATGGCAGAAGCTTGAAAACGAAGCCTGTGCGCAGCAACAAATGCTGGAAAGTGATCTGACTAAGGTCCCTGCAATCTTTCCGAGTCAAGGTCCTAAGGTCCACCGCGTTCTCAGGCGTGTTGGCTGCCCAGGCACCTGCAGGGACGAATCCGCAGGACTGCTTCATGACACGGATGCCTCCGCTGGTTGGATGCCTCCTCAACGCCATGTAGGTCTATGAAGCCGTCCGAGAAGAGCACATTCCTAATCAACGGTGTAGCAGCACTCAACGTCAACGACATCGGCACTGAGAGCAAAGCCCAACTAAGCTGTCGCCGGACAACATCTCTACGTTGGCCTTGTAGCTTGCCTCAAAGGAAGAACTGACCTCTTGACACCAACATCAAGCAATATCACCAATGCATGCTAATTCATGTCAGGGTGGCACTGTGCACCGCAGTCCAAAAGGAAAAAGAAAAAGAAAAACCAAGGCCTTGCCGGAAAGATCATTCAAGGGATCCTTGAAGCTGACGTCCTATGACGGGTGATACCATGGGTGTACATTAGAGCTGTATAGCATGGGAAGTCCTCATCGTAGAACTCAGCCTGGGGGCATCTTCTAACATCTTCTAGCAAGCAGCAAAAATGGGCCACGTTTCCTCTGCCCAGCGGTCATTGTGACGGCGCAGTGTATTTAGCTGTAAGGCTGTAATTATCCAACTGCGACTTACAGAGCTGGCCTCGAAGGGCCTGAAGAAGCTTCGATATTCACGGGCCTGGCATGCAAAGCAAAGCAGGATATGAGCCATAGTCTAAACTCCTAGTATCCCCCTTAATACCCCCTACAGTAGTCCCCTATATAATCCCCTATATAACCCCCTTTAAGGAGTTTAGACTATAGCTCTAAAAGAAACCTTTCCATCTTCTTCAGGCAAGGAGCGAGGCACTCCTTCAGCGCCTGAGGGAAACCCACACTTCACACTAAAAAACTGCTCTTTTGCTCCCAACCTCTCGCTTTTGCTGGAAGTCATCACCCAGGCATCTACGGGCCAAACCTCAGCTACCCTGAGCCCTGAGTTGACCCCCGAAGCTTGTCATATCTGATCCAAGGATAGCTCCTTGACTAGTGCCAGTGAGATGGCGCTGCCCAGCGAAGCCAGCGAAGCCAGCGAAAGCGGATGGAAAGCGGTCGACCTGGAAAGCTGCCGGAAAGCTGTTGCGGATCACGGGACGATGTTGCTGTCTTGGGGTGCTGCGCCGTTCGGTTGCCTCGGTTGGAAGTGCAGTTTTGCATGAGTCCCAGGCAATTGCTCGTTAGTTGTTTGAGCGTTCTCTCAGCTGAGCCGAAGCAGGCTGACTTCCTCGCCCGTTTGCTTCTTACACATGTCTCGAGAAATCAGTTCTTCCGAGGCCGAGACCTCTGGAGGACAAGAACTGCCACCAGTAGAAGCAATAGCCTGTGCCAAAGTCAAATAGGTTGGGAGCTGCAGACACGTAGGCCTAGGCGGTCATACCCACTTACAGCATACTCCATGACATAAGATCCTTCACGATCCTTCCAAGATGTCTTAAAGCCCAAAATGCCCGAATCGGTTATATAGGGATGATGGAAAAGAAAATGGAAACTACTATGACCAATGCTATATAAGTAGTTTCCATTTCATTTACCATTATCCCAATATAAACCCAATATCTCCCTAATATACAGGGTTATATAGAAATTATATGCTATCATACCTCCTTCATAACCCCTATAACAGTTCCCTATATAATCCCCTAGATAGCTCCCCTTAAAGGAGTATATACTATTATATAGAGATTAGAAGCAAAAGGAAGCTGGGCCTTCCGCTGTGCCGTGCCATATAAAGCACCTGCTGGACCAAGGCATCTGGACAAAGGCGGCAACACCAGGGTTCTATTGGGGTTATATAGGGATTGTACAGGGATTAGATAGGGATTATATAGGGGTTATGAGGTATATATTGGGGTTGTATTGGGATTATATAGGGTATATATTGGGATTGTATAGGGATAATGGAAAAGAAAACGGAAACTACTATAATGGCTTATTCTGGGATTATAAGGTATATATTGGGGTTAGATTTGGGATAATGGAAAATAAAATCGAAGCTACTATATCATATCATGTAGAATCACAGGTTGCTTGGTGCATGCACGGCACCTTCACACAGCGCAGTCTGTGGCGCACAGACTTTGGGTCAGATTCGGTGAGATGAGTGATCAATGTTGTAAGCCTGGATGATGCTTCTGTGGATGGCGAAGCCTTTGCCGCTTGGACATCTGAAACTGCTCGCCACTGCCAGCCATAACGTCAACGCAGGATGCATGAGAGAATTGCTGGCGGCAAGCGATGGTCGGGACGTCTAAACTCGAATCACTGGCAGATGCAACAACTTTTCTGTGATGTGAAGCTTCCAAGGATTTTCTTGGGCAGTTCGTTAACGGAGACCACTCGAAAGAAAGCAGCCGCTGGATACCTAGGACCTAGATGTGGAGCTGATGCTTTTGCGGCAGCAGCTCGGCTAAATTGTGTAGTGCTAGTCAAGCTGGCATGTTCAGGTAGCGAAGACGTCATCCTCAGCACTTTGGCAACGAAAGACAAGGATAGTGCGGCTAGCTGTAGACAATGGGCAGCCGTACGATCCTCTAAAAGCAACTCATGATGCAACTCGTGCCAAGACACTTCGCAAGCCAAGCAAGTCAGTGGAGGCCTGCAGCTGAAACAAAACAAATCGTGCGCCTCTCATGGAAGACAAAAATGCAAAAGTGCAACCACACAAGCCCAATGCGATGCAACAATACCCCAACAGCCCTGACAATAGCTGACTCGCTGCACCTGCTCAGCTGGATCTTGGTCGGGTCCTGATCTGCCTTTCAAGCATCGAGTGCTTGGCAACTCAAGTGAACTCGACTGCATGTTTGCAGCTTGCTGGAGGAGGAAACTTCAGGATGCCCCGCAGGCTTTTGTGGTCGTGGCTCTCAGCTGCCAAAGGGAAGTGACATTGACGCCGAAGGGAAGGAAACTGGTGAAGAAGAATTCTACACATCAGAAGGGACGGGCTCACACTTTAAACAAGCAAGCACGCCGACCAAAACGCGGTAACAGCTGCCAACTTATTCACCAACTCGAGCACAGCTTAGATTTGGCCCTCCCTCAGAATGAGATCCCCACTGCGTGTCACGAACGAAACATCCTACATCTGATGCCTGCATACCCCAACAGCCCAGGATTGCGTAGCACGCAGGTACGGATGTGGGACGCGCCTTCTGCTTCACGGGACTCCTCAGACCTTCATGCAGATGTTAGCTCGAGCTCTGTTTTGTAGGAATGCTTCCCCTGTGCTGTGGGACCCACCTTTTTGAAACCTGCAGCATGTCCCTCCATCCCAAGAAACGTCTGTGGTCTTCTCTGTGCTTGGCGGCTTAGCACAGCACAACCGGGCCAGTATAAAGGGGCATGCCAAACTCATCCAAACACGTCCAGCTGTGGCATGCTTGCCCAAAGCATTATGCTTGGCCACACTGAGCAAGAGCTCACGTGAAGCGTGACGAGCCGAAGCCGTTCACTCAGATGATGGGCCTCGCAGGAGTCTGCTACTTCTCTGTGAGAAACCTACATACTTGCAAGGTGCTGCGATGCCTGGGGATGCGTTCAGCTGTAACCCCCGCTCAAGCAGTGGACGTCTGTCAAATGGCGTTCAACCTGCTTGATGTAGGCGCCTTTGTCCTCAGGTTGCTCACCAGCGGCAAGGTGTGCAATCACGGCTCACGGCCAACATGCAGATGTTCAGAGATTGTGGCTGCTTTTTTCCTAACAAAGAAGCTTCGATGCTCACAAGCGTCAGAGTTACCCCAGGTGACCACGGTGCCATCTGCGCGGATTGCTGCAAAAGCGCCCGACGAAGCTTCCAGTTGTTGCACATCTCGAAGCTTCTCCTTGCAGCACGTTGCGTTTTACACGAAGATTGTTGTGCTGCAGGCTTGGTCGGCGTCTGTCCTGGAGCTGTGAGCTGTCGCCCCCTTCCACCCCATTGCCCCAGGTCACCTCAAGATTAAGCGGAAGCTGACTTCAGATCAAATTCGAGAAACACCAATTGAGGCTGCCACCACACGCCCGTCGGATCGGAGTGCTGCAAAGGCAAACTCAGTGGCTTTGATGAGCGTGACGTGCGTCAGGGCTTGATTGATGTATGGCTCGACGTGACTGCCACAGCTCTGGTTGCCCCAACAGACCACAGTGCCGTCCGTTTTCAAGGCTGCAAACGCACCTCGTGAGGCTGTGATGCTCTGCACATTGCGAAGCTGCTCCTTCACTTGAATGCACTCGCCCCCGAAAGCCTTCTCGCCCCAAGCAAGGACGCTTCCGTCCTTGCGGATTGCTGCAAATGCAGCACTGGAGCCCTCCACACTGACAACCTCAGTAAGCTCCGATTGTGTCTCGGCTGGCGGCCTGCCGCCACTGTCCTCCTTCCCCCAACAAACAACATAGCCATCTCCACGTATGGCCGCAAAAGCAAAGTCATTGCCCGTGACAGCGCGAACATCGTAAAGATCACTTTGCACCACGCTGCAGTCCCCACCGTAGCGACTGTCACCCCAGGTCTCCACAGCTCCTCCCCGACATATAGCAGCTAAGGCGAATGCCGTGCTTGATATTGACGCAACATCTTGCAATCTTTGTGACACCATGTTGCTGTCAGCTCCGGCAGAGGTGTCACCCCATGTCACCACTCTTCCATCACGGCGCAAGGCTGCAAAAGCACTTTGTGTCGCTTGAATCATCTTCACATCTTGAAGATGAGAGCTTGGTCCACCTCGACCTCCTCTGAGATGGTCACCCCATGTGACGACCTGTCCGTCGTTGCGCAAAGCTGCGAAGGCTCTGGAAGTAGCCTTGACAGAGTGCACTTTCACTAATGACTGATAAACAGCGCTGCTGTCCCCGCCAGACTGTGCATCTCCCCAGGTCACGACGGTGCCATCCGCGCGCACCAGTGCAAACGCAGCATTTCGCCGGCTGCAGCCAACGGGCACTTGCCGCACCGTGGCTGAAAGTGTCATGCCATCGCGAACGCCGGCCTGCTGCAGCGTCATCGCCTGCAGGAGGATCTCTTCTTTCTTGATAAAACCACACTTGCACTTCTATGAACAGCACAGAATAATTATAACATATCCACTTATCTTGCTCCCTCGGTTGAGAGGCAGGTCCTCGTCCAGGGGGGTGTTGTCTGGTGACACCAGATTGCACAGTGGAACCTTCATTTCCTTCGAGGCCTTCATCCGAAAATCCGAGACCTCAGTGGGGGAACCTCCTCAGCCTCACTTGAACTGAAGTGTTCGCATTGTTAACTTGCAACCATGTAGCGAAGCTCGACGGATCTGCCTTCGTCTTTATTGTCCGTCCACTGATCAAAGAAATTGCCAGCGTCATCGGCACCGCCATGACCAGCAGCCCGGCAGCCAATTCGCTGTTCACTACGTCTGGTACACACACAGCCATGTGCCAAAGTCATAAGCAGAAGACTGGAAGATGCTGAATGCAGTCTACAGTGTTACAGGCTAGAAAATATCGTGTGAAATCTGCTTATCTTGTCTACATCTGCTTCCTAGGCCATTGAGACATCCGCAAGGGCAACAGTACCTCATACTGTCTGGAACCACTGAAGGCTTGGCCAGATTGCTCATGACTTTGACGCAGTTCCCTCCAAAAGTGAGCTCGACGCACAACTGGGGTTCACACATGCCACTGGCGTTGGTGGAAGCATCTACAACATCTTGCGCAAATTTGTCCGTGAGGAAGCCTCCCAAAGGCGACCATGAAAAAGTTCACAAGCCTCTTGTGCATATGATACTATATTACATTATAGTATATTGTAGTATAGTTTAGTAAATTAGAGTATCTTATAGTAGATTGTAATACATTATATGATGATATATTATACAGTATATTATATTGTGTTATCGTATGTTTCTTGTTCTGCCTGGGCAGGGGACACTGTCCTGGACATGATGATGTTGTCTCGGAGTCTCCTGCGTTACATTGGGACAATGGAAAGAAAATGGAGACTACAATTGCGGTTTAGGGTTCAGGGTTGGGGTTATATAGGGATAATGAGCAAGACAACTACTATGTAGTAAATTGGGATTAGCAAGCAATAATGGGAAAGAAAATGGAGACCACTATAGGGGTTATGTAAGGATGATGGAAAAGAAAACGGAAACCACTATGACTCTGCAACAATCTGCAAATGCCCACCAAAGCTGACTTTGTCCTCGGTGCTCCCAGCTGACCCATCGACCCCGCAGTTGTGCAGGATCTGGTCAACCCTCACGGATCAGATCAACCCTCACGTCGCGGACTGACTGTTCAAAAACGGCTAGAAAACACCTGTTTCATGGCCTCGGCAAGAACCTGTACCCTACTTCTTGCTAAGCCAGATGCTGGGTCGCAGCGAAGTGCCGCAACCTGCAAACGCAAAGCGCAAAGCACAAACTCGTGGCAAGGTGGTCCTCTGAGCGCCACCCGCCTTTCTAGTGGCAGGTCCGCCAGCTTAGACGGAGAGCTGCCCTCACGCCCAGGATACAGTGCCTTCTCCCAAACCAGCCTAGGGCTACAAAAAGCCTCGGCGGCAGCAGCTTCGGCCGCTCGCTGCCGTGCAGCAGCCAGTGCTGCTCCACGGCAGTGGCGACGCTCGCGGCTAGGCATCTCCAGCAGGAGCTCCTATGGGTGGCTGTCAAAATTATGGTCCCTTTTTGGGTACCCTTAAATATTAAGTGCCGTATTTTACTTAGGGTACCCAAAAAGGGACCATAATTTTGACAACCACCCCTATGCAGACTGTGGAGAGGGGCTTGCTGGCGTGGGCATCACGTGCACCTGTGGTGGCGTCAGCGTCACTGCCCCAAGCATAGCGGCTGCCTCACCGGCACTTGGCCGGGCTTCTGGGGCCTGAACTGGTGTCAATGTCATTGCAACTTGCGCAGATCCTACGATATCCTGGCGACTATGCAGCCTCAGCAAGAAGCCATCGCAGCAGCAGCCAAAGGCGCGCCACAGAAGCATCCAGGAGCCTGGCCGAGTCAAAGTGCCAGAGTCTCATCAAGCTCACTTGCACCACAAATATCCACATACTTGCGCGCTCTAAGCCACTGCAATCAAACTCGACGCAGATCACAGGCTGGCTCCACCGCTCAGGTGCTAGAGCGAAGGCATCGCCTCCACCGACCGAGACAAGTGGCATTTCACTCAAGGGTTGCCCGTTCAGGTTGGGGAATTCGAGGATGTTGCGGCTTTCGGCTCCCCAAAGTCGGATGCCCGGGCCTGGCGCCGATCCGCAGAGCGTTCCGAAGAGCAACGAGGCCAAGAGCCAAACGTCCGCCTGCAGCACACACAGCACACTGTGCAGCACACTGTGCAGCATGCTGCGCAGCAGTGTGTGGAGCTCAAAGTCAGGGTCCCATCTTCAGGAACTTCACAAATCGGATTAATCTGACAAATCAAACCCTAATTGGTCCAAATGTGTTGAGTGTGCTGAAATCGTAAATAAAATCCCTGAGGTGACATCAAGCTAACAGCTAGTGGATCTGGCAGTTGCGCTGAAGTACAGCCCGTGAAATCATGCTCGAACACGTCTGCATTCGTTCCGATTCTCCTCAGACAACCTATGTAAAGGCTGAAATCCTGACATGCTCTTTGCCAAATCTCATGAAAGCGCATTTGCAACCCTGATGAAATCCATGCCTTGTGCCTCTCGGAGTTCCGAGCTGCAGCTACAATTTTACGTTCCCCCTGAAGTAGATAGAATTTGGCTTTGGGTACATTACAATAAGATCCCCATATACCCCATGTTCTACGAGCCGCCGCCTTCAAAATTCCACTAATCGGCGTGCTATCTTTTTTTGGCAAGGGTTGAAGAAGTGCAATGTCGTTTCATCGGGCATGCTTGAGGTTCAAGGAATGAAGGGTCTCACTTGATTGCCAGCGTGGATTTGAAAGGTGAATTGGAGACACATACCAAATGAATCCTTCAAGGAATGAATCCAGCCAGCCTCAGGTTTCAGGGCGTCGTCTGTTCCTTGCAGAGACTCTTCCACTGGCATGTCATACTCTTGCAAGATTGAGGCCAGCACTGCCACGAGCCTGACAAACAGGCAGCAACAGTCGTGAATGAAAAGGATGAAGATCTATTCACGGAAGCGTCGCAGCATCGCACCTCCGGCGGCACCTCGCACGGCTTCGCGCCACTACGACCACGCCACTCTGATGCAGCAACAGGCCTGCATGCAATTCAAACATAGTACTGCTGTGGGCCATGAAACCCTTTCAAGGTCACCACGACATGCTATCAAGGGACAGAGCTGCGGCTCGTGAAAAGTCTCCCAGCTTCCAGAGACCATCCAAGGACCCTGTGCCAGTTCCAATCCACATGCTGGCATGAAGAGATGGAATCAAGCAGCACCTCGCAGCACACCGGTGGCAGCAAGGCTACCATACCTGGGCTCACTCCAGTGACTGAGTCGAAGTGCTTCCTGAACACCATGATCAGTGTCGCAACATGTAGCATGTTACAGGTCATCCGGTCATGCGAGGGACAGTAGGATGAGGCCATGGAGGTGCGCAAGGCCCATGGCCAGCTGCTGTCCAAGGTCCTGAGAACTGCCGAGTGTAGCGAGGCGGTAGCAAACGGTGAGTTCTTTCAGGCCAAGCATCTGCTAGCTCTCCAGCAGCCATGTCCCCACCTTCAACATCCAAGATTGTCGTATTTTTCTGAATTTGCTCGTCATCTGAGGCAGCAACCTTTGGCCGCCACATGCTGCAACAAGTCGATGCCGCAGGGCTCGCAGAGAAGAAGCTGGCAGTGCGAGGGACCTTGGAGACCAGCTGCGAGGCCCGTAGCCGGGTTATTTTCCTTTCCCCGTGCTTGGTCTTGCACCAACATTTTGAACAAGAATCCCGTGGCACCGCACAATGTTAGGATGCTTTCCTTCCAACAAAGATCACGAGGCTGCCAGACTCCTGTAGAAGCCTCTTCTTGCCTTTGTCATGCCGGGCCTGCACGCTCCGAGAGCTCGGCCTCTTGCTGTACAGACTCCAAGGCCTCCAAACAGAAACACCAAGAAGTCAGACCGAAGTCCTGCTGAAGTCCTCATGAACATGCCTCGAGCGCCACATGGCCAGAGGACGCTGTGGGCTGGGCGATCAGCCGCCGCAGATCGTACTGAGCGCCTCGTGAGTCTCACCAGAGGATCAGATGTAAGAAGCCACCCTCAACTGTGACTCTCCGTAGGTCAACTTCTACGGCGGTCGCTAGAACCAACGCTTCTTCACAATATCCAGCCGGCCTGAGACGACGCAACGGGCACGGCTGCCACGAGGGCCGCCGGATTCCTCCAACATCAAAAGCACATGTTTGCATGAGCGCTTGCATCGAACCGATTCGGGCTGTCTATGTTTGCATCCACCTCTCCTCACGAACGCGGATAGACCCCTCAGAGGTACCAAACCGCAACTCAGCACCAAACCACGCTGACCTTGGACATGCAGAGCCGCAAGTTCCGAGTCGCATCATTTGGCCCTACACTTGTGATATGGTTTAATGGGTCAAACTAAATGGACACCAAGTTGCCAGGTTTCGGTCCAGGCATCCGATGCCATTGGCATCTATCAAAATGAATTGCTGCAGTGTGACATTGGCTACTTCCCTTTCTCAGAGACTCGCTCGAGACCCCCCCCCAAGCGTGGACATCTCCGAAGGATGAAAAGTTGGCTCAGCATCCAGGCTTTCTGTTTGTTTGATGTTTTTTTTCGTGAGCTCTCGAGCCAGCTGGCGTCGATTTCAACATTGGTCAACACGTCCCGTATGTGCTGCAATGACAACTTCAGAAACCATGCTGAATGTCATACCACCATTGCGCTAAAGATAGCGCCGTCTCTTTGGTCGGATCATCCGATACTGCAATAGCTGGGATCCAGGATCCTCCACCACAACCAGGAAGAAGTCAGGAAACCAGGCGCACATGTGCCATTGCAGCTCTACATAGTCATTGGTGCAGGCTACCCTCATACAAGTTGCCTCACCTAATTTCTCGCATGTGACCTGCGCAGCCTGACCATACAGGGGACAAGCGCCTAGGCTGCATTTGATGAATGGTCTGGTTCGGAGTTCAGAGTCCAGAGGTTTGATGCTGGATGCAGGGAGAGGGCCAGGAGCCACATATGGCGCTCGTCGCGCAGATAGACCTTGTGTCATAAAGCTGCCAAGGTGAAACAAAACAAGCTCGTAGGCTCAGAAGTGCTAGAAGAGGGCTGACGTGGTCGGTCCGATGGGCTTCGGGATTGACGAGAGGCGCCTCAAGCTGAAAGTGATTCGAGCACTTTCAAAGGTTTGCAGTACACAAGTGCACTTGCAAAGCTATCAGCTATCATCTGCTCAACAGCCAAGACAATTTGACAATTTAATAGCTCGGGGAGCTCTGCAACTGCTACTATCCCGACTCAGTCCAAGCCCGTGGCTCCACCTCCATCAAGTCCGGGACAGATGCCTTAGAGATGAGGCTTGGTTAATATATTGGGATAATATTGGGATAATGGAACATANNTAAAATGGAAACTACTAGAATGGATAAAACTATCTCACGCCCTCTGCAGAGCCTTTCTCATCCTTACAGCACGGCGTCCAGAAGAATTTAGGTGTCCTTGTGCTGCCATGATACTCTCCCAGCAGCCTGGCAGCACAGAAGGGGTGTAGTCGCAACTGCTTCATGTAGACAGTTGAATGCCAGCAGTTCTTCTCAATCAGACGGAGAGTTCTAGTTCAGTTTGCAATCACCACTTGCTTGTTCAGTAGATGACTCACAACAAGAACCGGAGCCGACAAGACACGCGCATCCCATGAGCCGAGGTGCTGAGGCAGACAGCAACCCTGCGTCACTCTCATGTACTTCAGGCTTCACAGCGCCATCCAAACGCCCAAATCTGTCACCGACTACAACAGCCGGCCTGTTCAAACATTAAGGACAATTAGCAAACATCCAAAAGTTGAGGGTTTCCGCAAACATGTTTCTATATTCTGTAACGGGGGCCAAAAGTCTACAATTTGGATGCACCGGCCAAGTTCTTCCACGCTCACCGGCTGGTTGTTCCACGCCACACGCGGCTCTTTCCAGGCTTGCTGGTTGGTTTTTCCATGCACGGCGGCTGGTTTTCCACACTGGCCGCCGGCTATATGGTTCCACACCAACCAACGGGTTTGGAAAAACGCTCTTGGTGTGCGGATCAGATGTGGCAAAACTTGGTCGGACGTCCACTGGAGGCCCCCACATTTTTTTGCGCTTTCATCAGCCGGCTAGGGAGAATAGAAAGTGCAGAAACGGGTGGTGGTCTGAGAATTTCATGTTTATAATGTAGTAGTTTCCATTTT